GGAGACCTGACGGCATACCCGCCCACTCCGACCGTCCACTTGACTGAAGACATGTTGTGGTCTATCGTGAAGAGGTGTCCAGACATACAGTGTCTGCATCTGGAGAACTGCTCACTCGATGTCCAGACTATGGTGTGGATGATAAACATGTGTCCGTACCTGAGATGCCTGTCCCTCATCGAAGTGATGGGCATTCGGGACGACGAGTGGGCGCTCGTCAGTGAATCCCTCGCCGGTCGTCTCAAACACTTCGCGATCATCGACTGCGAGGACGCGCCCATGAAATACCTGCGCCCTATCATCCCGTCCGTCGAGGAGCTCACTATACTCTACCAGCGCTCGCCTTTAACCGAAACGCTGTCTAATTTGGACTCAAATATACGAAACCTAACCATAAAATACTGCGAGGAATCCAACATCGAGATCGTCAACAGCCTGTCCAACGGGAATGGGATTGGACTGAAGTGTCTGATTATTGAGGACCCGTTTATCGCCGTTGAGGTCCACACTTTGGATGCCGTGTGCAGCCAACTGCCGAAACTGGAGTACCTGTCCATCGGGTTCGGCGACATAACGGGCCCCAACCGACCCATACTGACCCTCCAGTTCGGCAAACGGCTGGACCTGACCGTTGACCTCATGCGCTGGGATGCTATGACAGACTTCACGTTTAATAGGGTCGAGCACCTGGAGCTGTCCGCCCAGTTTACTGTTGACAATCTCTCACAAATGAACACTACGTTCCCTGCGCTCAAACGACTGACTCTCACGTTCCCCTGTATTTGTCACGAGAGTCCGCAAATGGTGTACGAGTTGTACCCGAAGTGTGAGATGTGTTTTGAGTACATCTTTGACATCGCCTTCAGGATCGAATCGTTTGTCTACCTGTGCCTCAATGGCGAGCACTTCCTCAGACGAGTCGACTATATCTACTCATGCGATGATAATAAGCACCAGTAGTCTCGCACATGTATCTCTCAATTGTTTGTATTATAGATTGTTTAGCATTTTTCTACTTTTACACAATTATTTATTATGATTTGATTTTTATATTTCTTTTTAAAGTAACTTTTAGTAACTAATGTGAGATTTTCATGATTATAGCGTCTGTTCATTGATACTGTTGTTTAGTTTAGTAATCTCTGTAATGTTTATAATGTGTATTACTTTTAATACTTTTATTGTGTTTTAAAAATATTTTACTGTATTATATCACTGTATTAATGAATGTTTTAATTCTATTAGCTAATTAATTATGTTTTAAGCACAGTATTTCAAAATAATAAAATATAGTGAATAAAATATTACATTTTATGTTTTCGGTTAAAATTTAAAATTGCTTTAAACAGCACAGGTATGACATAGTTTAAAGGATTACCGGGTCATATGGTTTACTTCAGCTTAAAATCTCTTAAATTCTCTAATCTATACTTTTGTGTCAAACTTGCTTTCAAGGAAATCAATATAAATACTGTACTACATATGTATTTAAAATACTGTATAAATGAAACTTATAGTCTACTAGTCTATAGACTCTATAAGTTATAGAATATTCACTTCATTTGATAGTTTGAAAACATTTCAAAAGTTTTCAAAATACTGTACTACATATGTATTTAAAATACTGTATAAATGAAACTTATAGTCTACTAGTCTATAGACTCTATAAGTTATAGAATATTCACTTCATTTGATAGTTTGAAAACATTTCAAAAGTTTTCAGTCATTTCATACATAATTCACATTCAATAGTGTATTCGTGCGGACAATGAATGTTAGACTTATGATGTGTTGTGTGTATGTGTGGGTCATATGTATCCCAATGTGTGTGCAATCGGTGTATACCCCGGACACCAAACACACGGCTCAAGTGGACGACCAGATGGATGTGCCTGATCAATCGAAAAACTTACCACTAAACGGCTATTACATTCAAAAGAGTGTAACGTTAGTTATATTTATATTGATAATCATTTTAGCGATACTGACATCAATCATAATGGCTGATGATAACTATCCGGACAAAAATGGTGGCTATCATCCATGTGCCCGCACAGTTGGCATACTATGGATAATCATGATAATATTATTCGTACCTAGTTCGATTGTGATAACTATATCTTATTATGTATAATTAAAATATTTATTGACTAAAAATAAATTTCATTCACGAATAGACAACTTATTTATTCAAAATATGAATTGATTTTAATATTTGTCAAGTGTTTATAAAGGTGTCGTGAGTTTGTCCCGTATCTAGTAATTGCAAAATATTGCTTTAATTTACTAATTGATTAGCTCTGAAAGTTAATTAGTTTTATCATTAATCTTACAGTATTGCTTGCAAACCTAAATATTTATTAAACTGACTATGGTGGTATTACTATTAAAGTTATGCAACTATGTCGTAATTATCATTTATTCACTGTGCGATATTTATCTTATTTATAGTATACAGGTATAATACAACCATGTTCACAGTATGTATAATTGCATAATGTTATTATATTCACCTGCACTGTACTGACAGCACCCAGAGTACAGTTTACGTACATGTTGCAATCACCTTTCAAATGAGCTATTATGAATCATAATCATGTTAAATAAAATTGATTATTAACCTATTTCATTATAAATTTTGCTAAATTTAAATTAAGTTTAATAATATTACACTAAAAATTTGAAACAACAGATACAAATATATTCAATAATGTAACAGTGAATTTAACAGTCTATTCAGTCAGACTTCATTTTTTTCAATGAAAAGTTTTTAACTACTAATGTCTTAAATTACTGGTGGTGTCAATGGTTATGCAATAGCTGTCGGTGTCGGTGGCGCTCATTGTTTTATCGGTTGTCACCGATTCAGAACCGCTATCACCTGTAGTTTGCGATTCAAAGTAAGTGTACTTCACTTTTGCCACTCGTTTGCCTTTATTTTGACAGTAAGTGGACAGCCGTTTATTGCGAGTCCCGTGCGGACTCATAATACTATCATAATTAGCATAATTTTCTCCATTATTATTATTACTATTACTATTGCACTCAATATTGAACTGAATTTTCTTAATGTTTGTGTCAAACACCAGTCCGTCCACAATGTCTATTATCATAGCGATTAGTATAGGAATAACGGCAATGGCGGCTAATATGAGAAACGAGATCCCGGGGCTCGTATCGATGGTGTTCTCGAATATGACAGTGAATACTGAGGCGGCCATAATGGGTGCGAAACCGAAAATTTTGTTTTAATCTAGCTCAATTCTAACCTATATTTAATTAAACATAACTTGTCTCAACCCTTTTGTCAAACATAGTATTATAGTTGAACTAAATATTTGAGTTATCACTTCTAAATATCTATTTTACATACTTTTAAGTTATTTATAAAGGAGTCAACAATATTTTAAAGATTATATTTACGATTTGTTAAATTATAAATCGCAAAATAATATGAGCAATCAAATAATGAATCTGTTAATAAATAATAAATACTTACATCGTTTTCTCAATTAAAAAGTAGTTAAATAATTAATAAACTAAAACTCATTATGATTTTGTTGTCCATTATTGGCATTTCTTAATTCAAAATTATCACAAATTGACAAATAATTTTTACTTATTTTATCAGTATTTATGATCAACATGGTCAGTTTTATCATTTAGTGTAATAAGTTACACAAAATATTATAATTCAATAAAAACATTCAAATATATTAATTTCTGCAATATTTCAAATAGTTTTATTAAAAAATAAACTATTTATACAAATATCTTTTTTAAAACTAATACTAAAATTAATACAATATGACAATTATTATTGTAATTAACATACATGATACTTTATGTTGCAAATTATTTATTAACTAATTGTTCTTGATGAATTTAATGAAATAGTGAATAAATCGTTTTATAAGTAGACAATTAAATAAATAAATTTTATATATAAACATATAATAAATAAAACATTTTAAACATTAAGTTGTTGTCCATTGAGTTCATTTGAGGACTCATTTGTGCCATAATTACTATTATTAACATTAATCTCGTTATTAGGCATAGAGTCGGGCAATACCGTGAAGAAGTGAATCCAAACCATAACCACAAACGGTATGATGAGTACGAGCGCCACCACCAGTAGTGTTAGTCCCGGTATTGTGTCTAACGTGGCGTTAAATATGGACGAAAACATACCCGACGCTATGAGGGGTGCGATGGCATCAAGTGCCCCCAATGCCGAGAATACCTTGCCCAATTCATTGGGTTTAATAATTTTTGAAAAATGGGTGCGAATTCCTATACCGGCCACCGATCCCATACACCCGGCTACTAATGAGTAGTAAAAGCCGTTTGCATTCAACACGAAGGCCCTGATTATATTTTCCGTGAAATACGAGACCAACCCTATCATCGACAGTATTGTATCTTGGATTTTGAATACCTGGTTCATAAATAGGTATTCATTATATTACTGTATAATACATTATTATTTAGTCATGTAACTTACTTTAATGAGTATTGGTGTGATAAGTAGTGTGCCGACAACCTGGGCTATACTGTCATACGCCGTGCCCACCGAATAGGTCTCGGAGTCCCAATGATACACACGTTGCGTGAACTGGAATAGAAAGTACATGGGCCCGGCATGTGCCAGTAGGCTGCACACCATCGATGCAAACAACACCCAAATCTGAAGTCTCACAAAATTATCCCGGCGTTTACAACACGTGATCACTATCTGCTTCAAGTTATCCCAGTCTAACAGCAATCGTATGGGATGTATATGTTTATTGCTTTCAAACTTCTGGAGCTTATTCACCACCACATGATTGTCAGCACCGGTGCCGTCGTCGGGCACTGAACTGAACCTCTGCTCCCATTTCCGGATGTCTTTCTCTTCGTCGACCATAAATATGACCCAAATTAGGGCCAAAACACTGGTCGCACCTGATATGAGGAACACCGCCGAGTAATTGTGTGCCTGTCCCCCACTGAACATTGATGGGGTGTTTAGTATCAATCCACCCAAGTATGAGGCTATTGGACGGGCTATTTATAGATTGTAACTTTTAATTAGCACTAACAAATTAACTAATTAATAGTTTTGTGACATACATATTGAGTTAACAATCTCTGCGGTTGTCATCCTAATAGCTCTCATGTGGGACGGGGTGGTAGTACTGATGTATGAGTACACGGCCGACATCATGGCAAACATACCGCCCTCTAATAATATAGGAGTTGCGGCGGTAAGTATCCAATATGCTATCAATAATTACAAAATAAAATAACTATAAGTTATATAATTTATGTCATGTTATAAATTGTATAAATTAAACATACACGAATCGAAAAAATAGTCAAATATTATCATCATGGTTGACTGTGTACCAATGCCCACAATACCAAACATCATAATTATCTTTTTGCCTTTAATATACTTATCAATCCAGGAACCGATAAATATTGGGGCCAATACTGATGGTACAGTCATCAGGATCATTGAATATAATAAGATAGTTGCCGTTTCGGTCAACACCTTAGACTTCATATTAAGGTGGTCATCGTGGGCTGACATGGTTGGCAATTGGGCACAGTATGTGTAGTTCATGCGGAACGTGTGGACACATATTTTGTCCTGGATGAATTGAGTCGTGGGAATCGAGTTCATGGTTGTAATGATTGTGAACGCGAATAGAAACGGCTCTACAGTTAGTAGAGTTAAGAACCCATAGAATCTTTTCATGTTATATGAAAATTCACCAAGCATACTGAAGCTTTTCATTTTTTAAATAACTTATTTGAATAATAATTATTTTAAGCTAAAACATTTCATTTGAAATATGAATTGATTTTAATATTTGTCAAATGTTGATAAAGGTGTTGAATGTTTGTCCCGTATCTCATAATTGCAAAATATTGCTTAAATTTACAAATTGATTAGCTCTGAAAGTTAATTAGTTTTATCTTTAATCTTATAGTAAACAATATTATTTGAATACCGAAACATTTATTAATTTGACTTATGGTGGTATTACTATTAAAGTTATACAACTATTTCGTAACTATCATTTATTCAGTGTGCGATATTTATCTTATTTATAGTATACAGGTATAATACAACTGTGTGCATAGTATATGATTGCATAATGTTATTATATGTTCACCTGCACTGTACTGACAGCACCCAGAGTACAGTTTACGTACATGTTGAAATCACCTTTTAAATGAGCTATTATGAATCATAAACATGTGAGATACAATTGATTATTAAACTATTTTATTATACATTTTGCTAAATTTAAATTATGCCTAATTATATTACACTAAAAATTTGAAACAACTGATACAAATATATTCAATAAGTTAACAGTGAATTTAACAGTCTATAAAAGCTTATCGACTAATGACTTAAATTACTTGTGGTGTCAATGGTTATGCAATAGCTGTCGGTGTCGGTGGCGCTCATCGTATTATCAGTTGTGGCGACCGATTCAGAACCGCTATCACCGGTAGTTTGCGATTCAAAGTAAGTGTACTTCACTTTTGCCACTCGATTTCCTTTATTTTGACAGTAAGTGGACAGCCGTTTATCGCGAGTCCCGTGCGGACTCATAATACTATCATAATTAGCATAATTGTCTCCATTGTTATTATTACTATTACTATTGCACTCAATATTGAACTGAATTTTCTTAATGTTAGTGTCAAACACCAGTCCGTCCACAATGTCTATAATCATAGCGATTAGTATAGGAATAACGGCAATGGCGGCTAATATGAGAAACGAGATCCCGGGGCTCGTATCGATGGTGTTCTCGAATATGACAGTGAATACTGAGGCGGCCATAATCGGTGCGAAACCGTCGATGACCGCCATTAACGTGAATACTTTGCCCAACTCTGACGGCTCCACTATTTTCGACAAATGAGTCTTATATCCAATGGGACCCAAACTGGCCGTACAGTTCACCACCAGTCCTATGAAATAGCCCATTGGGGTCCGGATTAGCGCCAACACAATCAGTTGCATGAATGAGCCGAAAAAGCCGATTATCGCCAAAATCATGTCATTTAATTTGAACACCTGTTCAATGGGTAATGATTTATTATTAATGGATAATAGTTAGCTAGCTAAATATTTTTTGGGAGGTATAGTTAGCTAGCTAAATATTTTTTGGGAGGTACAGACCTTTATGAGTAGCGGTGTAATGAATATAATGACCACAGAGTTGGCAATCATGCCAATGGAGCTGAGCTCCGTATATACCGGTGCGTCCCAGTGGTAGATCTTCTCGACAAACTGGAACAGGAAAGCTGCCGGTGCTGTCCATATGAAGTAGCACCAAAACATGCCGCCTATGGCCAGCCATATCTGTGCCCTCACATAGTTGGGCCGCTTTTTGGCGAAAGTGATGGCAATCTCTCTGACATTATTTATATTGAATAACAGTCTTAAGGGATGAATGTATTCAGTGTTGGCGTTGTATTCACTGCTTTGGTCGCCGTTTTGATGGTCCAGAAGGCCTTTACAGTCGCCGAAGTGTTGTCTGAATAGGTTTTTGTCGTTTTCCTGGTTTATGACAAATACGGCCCAAAGGAAGGCCACGAATGCACCGAAACTGCTGATCGAGAATATGAGGCCATAGTTGTGGAGCTGTCCGTTCCCTCCCAACGGTGTGTTGTTTATGAGTTTACCCGATGTGTACACTCCTAGTGGTTGTGCTGTCCAAATGACAAATAAAATAAATTTTAAAATTGATAATTTCAGTTTTCATATTATATAAACCAGTTAATTGTGAGTTTAGCCATGTAATATAGATACAGTAATTTTAATATTTACTTTACAGTTTTAATATTTTTAAAATTATATATTCATTATAATACTTTTTATTTAATATTTAGACTATTTAATTAATACTGTTGTTATTCAGTAATTAATTATTGTTTAGCTAAGTGCTAAGCAAATTGATAAATGATTAATTTTAAATTTAAATAATTGCCATAAATTACAAACCGATAGCGACTAACACTTCCAGTGCTGTCATACGTATTGTGCGGTATTTGGTGGGAGTGGTGACCGCCACATACGAGTAGGCCGTGGTGTATGTCATGGACCCGGACAATGTGTACGGTATGAATGATACCAGAATCCAATTTACATCTAAAAATTTGTTTAAACAAATTTTAAACTTAAAAACTATTTGCAAAACATATTTTCTTTAATACTTGTAGTGAAAAAGTATGACATAATGGCATTCATAGCCGCCTCTAAGGCCTGAGTTATGGATCCGATTATGAATATAGCTTTGCGTCCATTGATGTATTTATCAATCCAGGGTCCCAAAAATATGGACCACATAATGCCCGGGGCCATTGTGATCCACGTGTGGTACATGTTGTATTTGACCGCATCGGACAGTATCTGTGTCTTAATTTCGTGACCCGTTTCCACATCACTCATGTACGCCAACTCCAGACAAAACTCTTCCGACATATTATACCGATTTCTGCACAGTTTGTCTTGAATTAGGACTTCCAGTGGTGTCCGACGGAAGTACGAACTGAACGCCAATATTATCATAAAGGGCTCCACTCTTAGCAGTGATATAAACCGCATAAATGTCTTAAACCTGTCCTTCATTGCGGTTATTATTGTATTTAAATTTAAGTTAATAAATTAAGTTTAGTTTAAACACA